CGGGGTGGGGCGGGGTAAGCCGAGGCGAAGGAGCTCACACTTCATGCGGGCGCCAAAGGCGTCACACTCAGCAGACGATGCCGCCGTTAAAGCTGCCGAGGCTTTGCTTGAAGCTACGAGCTATGCCAACTCTTGCCATTTATTCCGTTTATTCCGACTACTTTGTGTGTGTGTGTGTGTGTTTTTTGTTTTGTTTTTTTGTTTTTACTTCTGTTTTTTGACATGGTTCTATGACTGTTGGCTCGGCATGGTTAAAATTTCTTTTTACCACTTATTTACATTATGAATGTACACGGGAAAAACTAATGTGACATGCGTCACATGAGAAGTGTGACATCCTTCGCATGTCGCATGTGTGGTGTGACCGCATTTTCGGTCACGTTTGGGGTGTGACCTCCTATGTGTTCTGCCTATACCTTCTTGGCTGTCGTATCAATTGGTGTGAACGGTGTGACCGAAACCCAGGTCACATTACGTGGTGTGACCAAAACCGGTCACACCAATTGGTGTAACACATGTCACATTAGTTTTTTTAGTGTAGGAGAAGTAAGTGTAGATCTACATCTATATCGATATACAATGAAAAATTAATTATTGTTTGCCTTTTTCAGGTGACAGACTCCTGGACATTCCCTGCAAAGTGTGCGGGGATAGGAGCTCAGGGAAGCACTATGGAATCTACAGTTGCGATGGTAAGGGCTCCCCGTACTCATTTTCGTATTACAACGAAAATTTTATTTCTATATCAATTCTATATCAATCGATTGCTGAATTTGCACTCACCTAATGAATATAATAAAATGTGTCCGTTACGACCGGAACAAAAATAATCCTTTCATGTTCAGAGTGGTGGACTGGCGGGACGAAGCCATTTAAAACTAAGAAGTCTGATTTTGTTCAATAATCCAAGTTTGTCCTTGACCACAGGATGCTCGGGGTTCTTCAAGCGCTCCATCCACCGGAGCCGCGTGTACACCTGCAAGGCGCAGGGTGACCTGAAGGGCCGTTGCCCCATCGACAAGACCCACCGCAACCAGTGCAGGGCCTGCAGGCTGACCAAGTGCTTCCAGGCCTCCATGAACAAGGACGGTGAGTCATCAGGCATTTTGGAGCACCTCTATCGCGTACTTTAGGGGACGAGGACGGGGCTTTCGTTAAGGAGGGGAGGGGGGTACAAATATTATGGAATCCTGGGGTAGAAATATCATGGGGTCTTTATGGATTGCGATTGCGGTCCTGATCCTTTAGGGACCCCATAAAATTTTTATCCTTTGGCACCCTCCACGACCACCACGTGCGTGGCCCGCGGGGGTTCGACCTGTTCTCACGACACGTTAATTTCTCTTGAAAATCAACAGAAAGAGGCCTCGTCCCGCTAACGATAACAACTCGCAACTTTTCCATAGGGCAGTAGCGATAGGCGCAGGTTCGAGGTATCGACTCTGTAGCTGAGTGGGGTTGCCATGACGACGACGCCATTTGCCGTGCCGTGGTGTGGCGACGCGTAATGGCGTACCCCCCCGCAATGTTATGAGTGTGATGTGATTGATACGAGTGAATGGGTTGTATTTGTGTTCAAAATGAATCATCTGAAGAGGTCTGTCTATTTTGAGACACTCAGTGGACTCGTGCAAGAACGCTATTTATCGAAATTGGAGGATGTTGGTGGGCTTGATCCTTATGCTTTACTAAGTGGGTTTAGTTCTGCCATTGAGGCAATGCCGCCTATAACGTCTAGTTGCATACAAGACTATTTAGTTTATAAGTGTAGCTTTTACACTTTTGAGAATTTTCTCTCAGAGAAAAGTCTGAGAGCTGGCAACAATTTTGTCGCCAGTGAAAAAGTTTCCAGCCTGGAAAGCCGCTGGATACAAAACAAAAGCAATTATATTCTGAGGTGCCGTGTAAGTATGCTCTGGACAAGTTTTAGTTAATTTTTTCTATTTTGTATCATCTCTTATGAAATGTTTGCTAACAATGCACCTGTTCCATTGCAGGTTGAGCCGTCAATGAGATCCACGGAACCTGCTAGAAGACCGTGGGCTATAGTTAGTAAGTTAGGGATTATTTTAAGTGCACACTGTGATTGCGCGGCTGGACTTGGAGAAGCATGTTCGCATGTTTCTGCCATGCTATTCTGTGTTCGTACATTTCGGAAGTCGCGTATAATCTGTTCTGTAACAGATGAACCCGCTTATTGGCGGCCCCCCTCAGAGCGCATCAAAGCAACTATGTCATGTATTAGACACATTAATTTTACAACGCCTGAGAGGCTTCTGCACAATATGATTCATGGTAAAGAGCATGTGGTACGTGCTCCAACCACGAAGTACCCTGCCCTTTCTGATGATGAGTATGAGAGAATGATACAGGCATGCTTTAAAAGTGCACCAGGTGTGGTTCACACTTTGGTCAATCCGTTTAGTGCACAAATTATTGCTAAAAGACCCAAATCCTTGAAAGATCTGTACCATGAGTCACATGAAGAAAAGAGCCTTGAAGAGTTAAGGGATATTGCAGCAGGTGTCGACCTCAGTCTGTCTCAAGAAGAGATAGACAAAATTGAATTAGAGACAAGGAAGCAAGCGAAGGGTAAGGCATTCTACAAACGTAGAATAGGTAGGGCACCTGCTTCCAAATTTAAAGCTATTTGCAGGACCTCTACTGAGGGTAAGATTTCTATGTCTCTCCTCAAGTCTCTTGTTGATCCATATCATAGCCGCTTCACCACTGAAGCAACGCGGTATGGTTGCATTCATGAGAAGGATGCCCTTGCTGCATACAGACAGCAAATGGTGAAATCTCATCAAAAATTCACCTTAACCAACTGCGGTAGTTTCTGTAATGCAGATTATCCAGAGTTCATAGGAACTCCAGATGCTCTGGTATCTTGTACCTGCTGTGGGAAGGGGTGCTGTGAGGTGAAGTGCCCCATGTGCCTCGAAGAGAGTGATGAGAACGATTTGTCTCAAACATTGGAAAAAGGTTTGGCAAGCTTTCCAGTTGGGGAAGTGCTTGATGAAGTAACTGGCAACCTGGTGTATAAACTGAAGGAGACTCACGCCTATTTTTATCAAGTTCAGTGCCAGTTGTTTCTAACAGGGCGAGCTTACAGTGACTTTGTTGTCTGGACTCCAAAAAACAAACCAATCATCATAAGACTAGAACCAGATATTCAGTTTTGGGAGCGTGAGTCTGCCAAAGCTAAATTCTACATCAGGAACATTGTACTTCCTGAACTTCTTGGAAAGTATTTCACCAGACAAGAAAGGAGGGAGCTTGAAGAGGAGCGACAGAAAGGAGGGAATGGAAAGATCACTGGTGTTGCTAAACGTAAGAAAAATAAGAAAAATATTCCACCTGCCTCCCCCTTACTGTTGCCTCCAAATTCAAGTGTCCCCCAGTACCACACACCAGTCAACATTTCCAATATCATTTCTTCGCCTGCATCAGCAGCATCAGGTGTCAGTAACACAACTTTCACCCTACCGAAGACTCCCTCCAAGCCTATCCCCATTCCTTCACGCCCATGCACACCCATCATCCTACCTAAGACTCCTTCCACTTCAGCATCACCATCTATCATTCGCAGAACTTTTACCCTTCCCAAGACTCCCTCTACTCCTATTCCCATTCCCTCAAGCCCATGTACACCCACCATCCTACCCAAGACTCCGTCCTCTTCCATTTCCATTGTTTCATGCCCATCTACACCCATCATTCGCACAACTTTCATCCCACCCAAGTTTAAGACTCCAAACACCTCAAGTTCAAACACTCCTGCCAAAACTCGCTATGTAATAATCAAGAAGCCATCGAATGGGCAGACACAAACACCAGGACCTGATAGGAAGCCCTTGAGCACTCTAAATTTAGGAAACATTCTAAACAGAGTAAGTGGTATGAATAAATTTTGTCAGTAATATTTGGGTTTTGGGTTTCTTTGTGATATCATGAAATTATGATCTCATCTTTTGCAATTATTTGCACAGTGCTGATACCTATAAGTATTAATGGGTTATTGTTGATCATGTCTTATCTAGCCATGCCAAACAAATATGTTGTTGTGTTATCATTTATTTTATGATCTCATCTTTAGCTTTTAATTGCGCAGTACTCATATATGTATTTATCTTTTAGTTGATTTTGCTCATGTGCCCTGCACAATCGTGCCAAACAAATGTTTTCTTGTGATATCATTTATTTAATGATGATGATCTCTTTTGAAATTATTTGCTCATACTGTAGATGTATATATTTACTGTTGAGTAGTTATTTTTAATCATGTGCCTTGCACAGTTGTGCCAAACAAATGATTTTATGTGATATCGTTTGTCTAATGATCTCCTTTTCTGCAATTATTTGCACGATCAGTTCTGATATCTGTATGCATTTAGTTAGTTTTGATAATGTACTGTGCGTCTTGCCTAGCCATACCAAACAAATGTTTTGTTGTGTTATCATTTATGTAACAATCTTGTCTTGTGCAATTATTTGCACTTACAGTACTGATATCTGTATTTATTTTATTTATTTTGTTGATTTTGTTTAAGTGCCTTGCACAGACATGTCAAAACAGTATTGTTCCTTTGTTTTAGTAAAGTGGATTGTTTTTGTATTGTAAGTTAAAACAACCTTCATTGTGATCTATACGGGATATAGTTCTTTGGAATAAATTTAAAGACATTTATTGAATTTTTTTGATTATTATTTTACTTAGTTGAACTCTTGCCTTTGCAGCAACCTGTTTCACAAACTTTTGGGACCTTACACTTGCCACTTTAGATCCTTAATGTAACTCTAAAGTATCCTCAGTGCCACTCCCAAAATAGAACCTTCATTGCCATTTGTATGACACTTAAATGCCACCTTGGGCTCTTTGACACTTCGGTGACACTTACTTGCCCCTTAATTGCCACTTTGTCTCTTAATTTTTGTTCCAGGGCAATGTAAACTAACTCAGTCAAAAATGCCTTGCATTCTACTTGTTTGTACAGGGTGGCTGCCTACGCCACCTGCAAGTCAGGGAGAAGTCAGGGGAAAAATATTGGACGGGGAAATGGAATGTTGATTGGGAAAACTGGCCAGGAAAAACCCTCCCAAATGTTACCTGGTTTCAGAAATATACACATGCATGTGATCTTCTCCTTAGTCCACAATGCCTGGAGAAAAGTTAGTTAATGCACAACAGACCACGGCTATTTCATCCATACCAACATCAGTTTCCTCATAGTTAAGCAAACGAACTGGTACTCGATTGGACATAATTCTGTACTTTTGGCGGAGCATGCCAATAACTCTCTCTACATGGACGCGCACATTAGCTATTATTCTTGTAGTATCTACGTCATCCGGACTTAACTGAGACAATCCTCTCAAAAATCCTGGCATTACAAGTGTAGCCTTATGCAGGCTAATACTATCTTCAACCAAAAAACCCCTGTCAGCCATAACTGTATCACCTGGAGTCAAGAAACGTAGGAAACCTGAGTCTTCAGTTATAAATTTATCAGAACTTCTCCCACCGTAGCTCTGGGATACAAAGCAGATAAAACCCTGGGGTGTCACAGCAATCAAGTACTTTACTGTCTCATGGCCCTTATAGTTAGACCAGGTTTGAGATTTTGCCATAAGATTAGAAGACTTTTCACAAAATATTTCAAAGCAGTCAACTATAACAGTCACAGAATCCCCAAATGATTCCTTAAAGCAATCTGGCATTGAAGCCTGTAGAAGGGGTCTCTCAGGCCAAAACACATTTCTTTTAAGTCTACAATACATAACTTCAATGCATTTTGTAAAGATGCGCCCTGCAGTATACTTAGACACATTGAAGCGATAACCAAGGTCCGTTAAATACAAATTCAGCTTTAGTTTCATTAATGTCAAAGCAAACTGTTGAAACTTGGTCAGTGTACTCCGAGAAGTGTAAGTAAGATACGGAGCCACAACCTCAAAGATGGCCATCAGAACACCGTAAGTGGGTAAACCTGTGTAATATTGAGTGACGTCATCATCTTTGTACCAGTCCTGATTAATTGAAAGTGCATTAATCTTGCACTGAGCATCATCTAAAAGGTTCTCAGTTTTTTCAATGTCATCCATGGACAGTTCAGTTTGAGTGGCTATTGTTCGATACTTTTTTATGTCAGTTTGTGTTGCACGCCCTTTCAGTTGTGGTTTAGTTTGGGTTGCACGGTCTTTCCAATTTTTCACAGTCTGCGTTCCAATAGAAAGGCCCAACCCAACTTCCACATCTTCTGCATCAAAGAACACTTCATCTTCAGTCTCTGAGTCACCATCAGGGTGAAATAAGTCTTGCGAGGACTCTGAGAAGTTCAGAACAGATGGATGATCCCCTGCCGGAACCTCAATTTTTAATTCATCACATACTTCCATCATCTGTGAATAACTCAGAGAAACTTTATAGTGGGTGACCCAGCCTGGACTTTGTGGACGAGGGTCTGCTTCACATTCATTTCGAGTACTTCCAACTTGTGATTCCTTCACAACTTGAACATGGTTGACCAAGTTCTCCTCTCGGTTGACCAAGATTTCGTCTTGGTTGACCAGGACCTCCTCTCGGTTCACTAAGATTTCCTCTTGGTTGAGCTGTAAAGTCACAGGTACAAAGTGAGATAATTTTAAAGTTGGGGCCCAGTCCGGGTTGTCAACATCAAGGATGGAACTGGGAGAACCTGTAATAAAAAGGTAGAGGATGGTACAGTTAATAATCACAACAGGCGTCGACAAAAAAACGAAAAAGCATTTCATGCATTACTTCCTTGAAGAGGTTAGAAGGAAGGTACCGGCGAATTGAGTATTTACATAGTGCTTCATTCAATACAATCGAATACGCCCGAAAAACATCATAATTACCTGTCACGAAGTGATCCTCACAAATCCATAGTTCCTTTGGTAGTTTTCTTTCAGAAAAAGTACCGAATATTCGTTTCAACCAGAGTAAGCGTCGTCGTGGAAGAAGTGCTTGTTTCTCTCCTGATTTGTACGTTTTACTTTTACTTTCTACTGGTGGCAAACGGAAATATCTCTTGACAATGTTTCCTTCTCTACCGGCTCTCTTAGTTTTGCTTTTGCTGTATTCCAGTTTGCATGCACAGCATGTTTTAGTCATAACTATGTGTCGTTTTCTGACTCAGAAAAAGGCAACAAACGCACAAACGCTTCGACCGCGCGTCCAGTGAGTAGCAGACGACATCGGGCTCTGACGCATGCGCACTAAGGCTCCCACTCAGTGTTCTTCGGAACGTTACGGGCTGGTTTCACCGGCAGTGCTTCGATAGAAAGATAACGGTTCGCTATTGCTACTGCTCTACTAAATTGCCGGGATGAAAAATTTCTTCAAACGTCAACATTCAGGACAAGACGTCAGCAGCAGTAGTTAGCGGCGAACCGGTGAAAATGGAGAT